ACTCTTCCTTTAACACATTAAGTTCTTTCTTACATTCTCATGAGTAAGTACTTTTGCATGTGCTCTAAAAAGCTCTCCCTCAGATCTTTCCAAAGATTTCCATTCCTCAACATTCAAGTTTCCATTCAAATATCACCTCCTCAGAGATAGCCTCTTTGCTCCATGTAAAATAGTAATCCCATCTACTCATCCCTTAATTTGACTTAATTTTTATAATGCTTACTAGAATTATATTATTTACTTAGTTGTCTGCATGATTATTCTTTGTTCATTAAAATGTAAGCTCCATGAAAACAAGATCTTTGCTATTTGCCATTCTCTTAGCTCTTGGAATAATATTTCACTCATGGTAGAGGTAGCTAACTAAATATCACCATAATGCCCTGGTTAGTATGTGGATTTAAACATTTGTTGTTTCTACTATGTGCTAATGGCCCTCTAGGGTAATGATATTCAGTAATATATAGCTTCCAGGTTTCAAAGAAACTTCTGTTCTCATGTTAACATAGATACACTTACTAGGTAATGTAATCCTGGCTAGACTACTTACTGCCTGTGAAACCTTGGGCAAATCCCTTAACCTCTCTTGGGGTAAATGTGAAGATTAAATGAGTTGATTCATATAAAATACTTAAAACAGCATCTGACACACATAATAATTATTAGCTTTTGGGGAGTGGGTGGGGATATGCCTATGCAAAAAAAAAAAAAAAAAGTCAACAGGTGGTCCTAAAGGTGAAAGTGAAGATTACAGTCTAATGAAGTAATGGTTTTCACCAGAAAAATCATTGTTTTCTGTGGGAAAACTGTATGTTATAGTTCTGTTCTTGACCTTGGAAAGTGGTAAAGATCTTGAGATAGATCCCACAGAATTGTAAAGACCTGTACTTCCTGAATGAAACCAATGTAACAGCCTAATAAGTTTCCCTTGCCCTGATAAACTAGACCACTCCCAAATCTACCCCAAATCTTCTCCAAGATAGGTGATTACTCCCATCTCTGAAATATCCAGAAAACTCTGTACTTCTTCCTGGGCTCTGTAGGAAAATAACTTGTGTATTTATCTACTACATTCTATGTAGGAACCATATCTTGCTCACCATGCATTCAATAAACATTTCTGAGTGCCTGTCATGTACAGAATACTAAAGATACAAAGGCAAATGAAGACATGCAATAAATAAATGTGGTAACATCATAGCATATGTACACTGTACAGGGATGGCAGAAAAGAGCCTCTACCACACATCTGCACTAGGCAGCATCATGCCATTATATGGTGGGCACTCAGTATCTATTAAACTCCTATCCAATTCCTATCTCCTTTCTGAAGCTCTTCCTTACCACTGTAGCTTACTATGCTTTTCTCTCCTAAACCCTAAGTCTGTCCATACCATTCAAATGATAGCTTTTTACCTCTGTATCAATACTGCAGGCTGTTATTTAACATTTTATATATAAATGTCTTGACCTCCCCAACTATACCATGTGCTTCTCGAGAGCAAGAACTCCCAAAATATTAATTCAAGTACCTGTTAAATGTTCCTATAATTTCTTGAAGCTACTAAAATGTTATTGGCCTAACCATACTATCAGTAGCATCACTTCTGAATCACCCCACCTGTGCTCTGGTTCTCCACAAAACAAGTAGCCTTCACCTCAGTGTTCTTAAAACAGGAGGCCAAAGGAATATTGCTGAAAGCATAAGAATATGCCACTGCTCTCAAACCAGGAGTCCAGATCCCAGAACGACAAGTTTATTTCTTTTCCCAGCTAGATGCCTGGGTCCTCTGAGAATTCAGATACAAACAAGTATGTATCATGGATTCATCCTGACAGCTAGTTAACCTATATGCCTATAAGATAGCAGACATACAGGAAGCACTCAGTAAATAGTAGTTTCCCTTTTCTCCAATTCTCTAAGGCTCTAAATCCTATTGGTAAGAAAGTAAAAGTCACTCCAACTTTATTATCACTTAATGTCAATGCACTGAATATCCAGGAGAGATTAATTCCTGGTTCCCTGTTAATAACAATCTAGCAGACAGCCTTGGGGAGCTGAGGGGGTCTTTAAACCTATAAGGTATACCTAAAATCTTATGCACACTTGCAAAGAAGTAGAAAACATCATGCAACTTGAATACAAGATTTCGTTCAATGGCTTCTATAGTTATCATCTGGTGCACTCTATTCACATGAACGTCTAGATGAAAAGTTACATATTTGGATACAATCAGACTATACTGGGACCTGTAATCATACAAACCCCTAGTCCAGCATTTTCTAAGTACCCTTATATGCTACACAATTACTTCCACCCAAATCTGGAAGAATGTAGGTTTCAGCAGCCCTGTATCCATTCCAAGAGGAATGTCCTCCCTTGTTTAATCTCAGTGAGATTACCCTCACTTTTGGAGGGTACTCTTCCTTCTCCACCTCTAACCTCTGTAATCATCAAGAACACGAAACAGGGGCGCCTGGGTGGCTCAGTCGTTAAGCGTCTGCCTTCGGCTCAGGTCATGATCCCAGGGTCCTAGGATCGAGCCCCGCATCGGGCTCCCTGCTGTGGGAAGCCTGCTTCTCCCTCTCCCACCCCCCCCCTGCTTGTGTTCCCTCTCTCACTGTGTCTCTTTCTGTCAAATAAATAAATAAAATCTTTAAAAAAAAAAAAAAAAAAAAAAAAAAAAAAAAATGGTAGACCTCCATTTTAATGGTACAAATTCCTGCTGAACTTTGCCAATCTGAATACAGACTTAATAGTAGTATTCAATACACTCGTGAAGCAAAAGAACATTTAGTTATATCAAGCCTAATGCACAATTACAATCTGTTGCCATGAGAATAACATCACTAACCTATTCCACCTGCTATTACTTCTAGCTCTCTATCCTTTATGACGGTTAGCTCCTCAAGTTTTATCATTCTGACGAATTTATACTACTGAAACCTGGACCCTCAAGTCCCATAGGGTAGCTGGTGTTCTCTCTGATGGCTATATGGCCCTAGGGTCTGTCCTAACAGATAGAGACCGGGAATCCAGCCTCTGTCTTTTTTTCACTAGTTGTAGTTCTCTAGATCTGTACCCTGGAAAGGAATAACTATACCCTGACTTGAGACATTTCAGTTCCAGTGGACCTAAGGTTCAAGTTTTCTGTAGACTAATACCTACATTGTCAGTTGAAAGACTGAGCCATACATTGAAAATGCTGATTCACTACTGCTACAGGAATACAGCCATTTAATAGACTAAATTCCAACAGGAAATATCTGTCATATGTGATTTCTTTTTAAGCTGAGTACTTTAAAATACTTTTTCTAATGAAAATAACTTTTCTCATTTGTTAATCTTTGTATATCCCTAATAATCAGCACAATCATTTTACACAAATTAAGAAGGTAATAAATATCTGATATCAATAAAATAACTATTTCAAACTTAACCCATTCCATATCTTAGCCCAATTACAATTTCACATTTGCAGGTTAAAAAATTACATCAGATTTTAGAAGTCAGTGTAACCAATTATATTGTAAAATGGTTGTCATTCTCCTTCATAAAATAACCTTAGCTTCTCAAATATAATTTTTCTCCATTCCATATCTATTTTCTGTGGTGATAAATTGTGGGTTTTAAAAAGAAAACAAAGTTCTTTGCAGTTACTCTAGAGAAATAAAAGGTAGCTTTAAAATAACTAGATATTTTCATGATAAGGGTTGCCAGAAAGGTGAAAGTAGTACGTTTCATACTAAAACACAGGCTAAATGAAGCAAATAACTAGCTAATAATATTCCCTCAACAATTAGAATGAACATTTGTGAATAAATAAGCAACACCTCTTTAATGCAATAAAAATGTTTTAAAAAAATGTTTTCCACTAAACTAGAGGAAAACTGCTAGTATCTGTAAGCAATTAATAATTTTATTTACTAATTCTATATTAACAAAATTGCATGCCACAGCAAAAGAGGAAGGAAGAAAAAAGTAGATGGAAGCTATATTTGTCTAACAAAATAAGTTCCTTCCCCCTACTAAACTTCAAAATAAATTTGAAGAATAAAGTGGTCTGACAAACTATTCTGACACCTATCAAAACTTTGCTTTTTTATTATACTAGAAAAGGGTTCCAAACCAAATAACTGATTTTTATTTGAAGCTGGTTAAGATATTCAGTTGTCAGATTGTTTTCACCAGTTACTCTATGTCCTGTAATCTTTGATGGGAATTTATATCCCTTTTAACACTCCCTTTCTGTTAACAGAGATAGATCAGTAGTCTCTGACATTAACAGAGATAATAAAATCTTATTAATATTTAACAGTTTGGAAAATTAATGGAAAAACTAGGAAGATTTTATAACTTAGTTTATAAAAATTTTATGTGATAATAATAGCAAACATTTATTGAGCGCTTACTATGCGCCAGGCACTGTGCTAAGCGCTATAAAAGCATTACAGTACTTAAAAAGAAATAATATCTTATATGTGGAAAAAGTCTTGAACTGTGAGTCAAAAACATATATTCTATATCCAGATGAGCTAAAGTAAAAGAAGAAATATTTGCTAAACAAAGAGCATTTCACAGACTGTTAAGTAATGGTTCCTCATTAATAAAAAGGCCAAAACCCACAAACAAAACCACCCATTCAACTGACCAAACAGAAAAAGTTTAACTTCCTCTATTTGAAAACATAGAGGATATCTAATTTTTTTGTTTGGCAAATTCTTCTTCAAAAATACTGTACTGCAAAGGAACATACAGATACAAAAGATGTAAAATTAACTTTCAATCTATCCTATATCCAAATAATAATAAATTTTGAATTAGAAAAGCTCTGAAAAAATGAGGTTTTCCTATGTACACAAAATAAGGAAAACTGAAAATTAAAAATCTTTCCTTTTAAATCCTAGAATTGACCCACAAGGGCAGCATTGGTTGTTCTTTATTTCATAGCTATTTTTTTCTTATATAAAGCATCCCAGAATAAATACAAAATTCTTACTTTGTTGCCCGTATAAACTTGCCCCAAACTGAGACAGCTGACCTGATGTAGATGGTGATGCCAGCATCTAGAAACAAATTAATTATATTAGAGCATAAAGAAAGTACACAAAGCAATGCATTTACACTTTATGAATCTGTACAACATATAATATGTGAGAGCCAAACCACATTTCCCATTCTTCAAAAAAACATAAAGCAAACATTACATAATAAATGCCATTGTTTCTTAAGAAAATATCACAACTGGATAAAATCAAAATGTACAAATAAAACTAATTTCTGATTACAAGGTTTTTTTTTTCAAGTTACTCTAAATGAAACTACAGCAGCATCATTACTTCACTTAAAAAACAAAAAAGTAGGCTAACAAATACATGAAGACAGTATCTCAAAAAGTCAGCCTCTATAAATTTATAAGTCAAATTATTTGATCTTTAGATAGTACATTAAGCGAAATTCTACATTCAGTTTATTAAAAGTTGAAAATAAAATTATCTAAATAGACAAGTTCTGTATTTTGCAAGAATATTTCCTAACATTTATATATGCAAATAGTTTATGTATAAAAAGGGTAGAAAAATCTAACATACAATCATATAATAAATGGAGAGATGACACAAAACGAAAGGACAAGTCAAAATTACTTACAAAAATATACAGACATGGTATATAATGTATACTATTAGTGAGTGATGTGACTTTCATGGCACTAGTTAACAGTGCCTTTCAATTTATTGCATCAGCATCTTTTTTTCCTAGAATAGACATTTTTTGAGGGCATGTTATATTCATGGAACATGTTATTTATATTCATTTTTTATTTCCTCATAGAGACTGGCACTGCATGTGGCAGTGCTATACACAAAGTAGATACTTAAACTGAATAAAAACGTGTACACGTAAGTGCATGTTCGAGTATTCTCTATCTTATATTAAGCAACCACCAAAATAATTTAACTAAATAAGACTTGAGCCATGTCATCAAAAAGGTTATAATCTAGTTGAAAAAGAGAATGAATTATGCACCTAATTATACTCTAAGGCACAATGCAGGAAAATAATTTTAAACAAGGGTGAGGTAACAGAAATATTTTATAGAGCAGTAACATCTGATGAAGGATCTTCCAGGCTGAGAATATGCAGTGAGTGTAAGTATGATAGAAGTTAGTGCATAATTAGAATACAAACAAAATAAAAAACATTAGTGATTTCATTACAGGTAATTAGTGAAAGGAGATAAGGCATACCCCTATGCACATCTGGGCATATACAGAAGAATGGGAAATAAAAGAGTATGCTGGGGCCAGATGTAAAGGGCAGATGACTACCAACTATGGCAATAAAGAGAAAAAATAATATTAAGGGAAGAAGCGACCTGAGCAGGCTGTGCTTTTGGGGGATAATTCCAACTGAATGGAAATGGAAATGGTAAGATACTGAACCAAAACAGCAGAGGTGGGACTACAAAACAGAGGCCTTCTGGGGGTAGAAGCAACAGTATTTCATGACCTGTTGAAATGGCTGAAGTTTAGGGAGAAGGAGGAGGATAAAGAATCACCAGACAGGGAACTATCAGAGGCCACTTTGGTTTCAGTGAAGAACTGGGCTGACATTGACCAGGAGGAAAACCAGAAGGAGAAATATTTAAACGAGAGTTTTTACAATACACATTTCATGCTATTTTCATGTCAAACTTCTGAGTTGTTCTAATTACTTAAAAATTCACAAAAACTTTTATATAACAGTATAAACTAATGCTATACATCACTCTTCTGAGGTAGGGCTGAGTAACACACTACTCTAAAACCAGCAGTATTTGTTTGTTTGTTTATTACGATTTTATTTATTTATTTGACAGAGAGAGAGACAGTGAGAGAGGGAACACAAGCAGAGGGAATAGGAGAGGGAGAAGCAGGCTCCCCACGGAGCAGGGAGCCCGATGCGGGGCTCGATCCCAGGACCCTGAGATCATGACCTGAGCCAAAGACAGACGCTTAACAACTGAGCCACCCAGGCACCCCAACCAGCAGTATTTGAATAAAGTAACAAACTTTCTAAAAAAGCATCAAACCTTATAAATAGTCCTTCTCAAATCCACAGGGTACACAATCTATACAATTAAACTGAAAGAATATACATTTTATGCCTGATCAAGTTCTTTTGTTAGGTACAATCATCATTACTGTTAACCACATAACTGGAAATATTTCAAGCACTTTAAAGGCTCATTTCCAAATTGCAAAGACAAGATCAAAGAAAATGTGTAATACAAAATAAAGCTTTAGTTGGTGACAGAAGGTAAAAGGTTTATATATAATACTCAAAATCATGATATTCTGTTATCAATGTTAAGTCACAAATGAAAGTAAAAGAGTAGTTCCCAAAAGCTTCAAATATAAGAGATTGGCAAATATGACTGCATGTCTTAGAATGATCCTCAATGTGAACACTTTAGAATGGACCACTTAAAATTTTACTTTTCCCAGAAATTTATGTTTACTGAATATGTAACTCCAAAGAACAGAAACATTTTTAGTCCACTTTCTCACAAAGGTTATATATATTCACAAGGAGTTACAGGTGTGCCAAAATATCAACCCTCTCAGCACTAGGAAGCTAAGAGAGGGAGGCACAACATGAAGGTACAGAAGGCATGGCTCCCTGGGCGAAGTACTGGAGATCAAGAGCAGAAGGGTGACCCATTTACCAGTGTGACATAACTATTAGCATTTTCTCTATGTGTGAGGGTACATGAAGATTAGTAAACAATACTTTACAGGAATATGAAAGTAGTTTGTTAAACCTAAGAGTTTATAGCCTTCAAAGCATCCGTGTAAAATAAGCATTAATCAGTCATGCAAACAGATGTTAAAATGACTGCCTCAAAACACGTCAAAAATGCAAATATATCATTTCTTATAAAACCAGTCCCCAATGGTATGTATTTTTAAACACTGAAAGCATGCTTCATGAAATATGTCACTGCTAAAGATGTATTTAACACACAATGAAGGAACGTGAATGGGATATAAATGCTATTTCTGAGGGCAAAGAAAATGCACAAGAAATGTACCATGGCACAACAGTAACTACAATTAACAGACAACAGAAAACTTACATATATAAATGCTGAAAGTTAATAATACAAAGATAAATTTCTTAGAGAAATATAAAAGCTTTAGATCAAGAAACACATTACAGTAGGGAGTATAACGTAAGCCCAGCTTTGGAGTCAGAAAAAAAAAATCTAGGTTTGAATCCTGGTTCTGACACTTACCTATGGGATAGCCGGGCCTCTGTTTCTTTCCTGTAAGATGGAAATAACACTACCTACCTCACAGAGTTGAAGTGAAGATTAAATGAGATAAGATGTGGCACATAGTATGTGCTCACTAAATGGTAGCAGCTGTTGCTAAAAATCTAATTTTCCTCCCAATGCAGGACTCCCTTTAACAGCAGTCAGAGGGTCATTCAACCTTTGGGGAATTTACTGCATAGTAAATACTGCATAGTACCCTACATTTATATTAATTTTTGTCTAAGAAGCTAAAGAAATAAGTTCATCACAAATTTCAGGTAAACTAAGTAGAGCTTGTGTTAGTAGATGGGGGAAATGGCAGGAAAGTATTAAATGTTACACAACTGGTAGAATGCTGAAACCAACAAAAAGGTTACTATGTTCCCAGTCCAAAACCATCATTTCAATCATACGCTTTCTCATTTCTCAGTCTATGATATAAACTGCAGTCAAACAACAACAAAAACTAGGAAGCAACTAGAAGAAATAGTAATGTGATTCAAGTTATTTCCGTGACCCAACAAAAAGCCCATTTATCCTTGGTTTATTATACAGAATGGTAAGAAAATCAGTAAGCTAGAAACTGTATTTAAAAAATTATTTCCACTGTTACTAGATACAACTCTGAAATCTATGACCAAAAAAAGTTTAAAAATTTTTTGTTTTAAAAATATATGTATTTGAAAACTTAATAAGCAAATCTGGGTCCTGCCCTCAATCATTCTGTGCTTTCTAATAGTGACCAATTCTCAATTATTCCCTCCAATAAATGTACCTTCAATCACAAAACAATTTTGGAAACATTAAAATCAGTGTAGTCAAGAAAGTATTTTCTCAGTAACAAATGACTTCAAAATGCAAGAAAGTTTGGTTAAATAAAAATTCCCTGACCACAAAAGCAATTAAAAAATGAAGTAAGTTTTTAAATATCCTTTAAAAACTTCATTGTACGATATTAATTAAAGGTGTGGTAATAACATAATTCCCAACATTCTGTTATTAATCCAGGACAAAAAATAACAAAGTGTAACTTTGACTATATATCTACAAACAGAAAAAAAAAACCCCACAAAGGAGAAGTTCTAAACCTAAGACAGAATCTGAAGAACATTTTAAAATTACAAACAGGATGGTTTAAAAAATGAAACCACTTGTCACAATGAAATCTAACAGACACAAAAAGAAAGACTATAAGAAGACAATACATTGAAAAGAACAAAAGAAGAAAGGAGAAAAGAAGGGAGGGAACAGTCAGAAAAACAAAAGAGTAAGTCATAGGACCTTGTACCTTATGAATCAGATAAAAATAAATTATGGGTTTACTAGGTATTACCCAATAATTCTGATTAAAACATTAAGTTTTAGGGCACCTGGGTGGCTCAGTTGGTTAAGCGACTGCCTTCGGCTCAGGTCATGATCCTGGAATCCCGGGATCGAGTCCCGCATCGGGCTCCCTGCTTGGCAGGGAGTCTGCTTCTCCCTCTGATCCTTGCCCCCTCATGTGCTCTCTCGCATTCTTTCTCTTAAATAAATAAAAGCTTTAAAAATAAATAAATAAATAAATAAATAAATAAAACATTAAGTTTTAAAAAGAACATTTTTAAAAAGTGTAATACATGCTGAAATAGTCAATGTAATTAATTCCTATTGGGCATTTAACATTCAAATTCAAAGTATGGCAATGAACATCTTTATATTATATTGTCTAAATTTTAGGTTAGAGCCAAATATATAGGAAGGCATATGACTGACTGAAGAAATGTTCAC